TTGATGTTTTTAATTTTGCTTCATATAATGGCCATACAAAAATTCTGCCTTAAATATGGTGAATTATAATGCAACCATTTTATTATAAATGAATCCCTTAAATAAGTCTTTGTTGTACAATAAAACGGTATAGGATAAATATTTATCATTACGCAAAATTTCCAGGCACTATAGAACTATTTGGGACATATTGAGATTTGTGACAAATAGATGCCAAATCTCATTTGATTAGTATTTAAACTAACAAACATGATCAGATTTTCATGGATTCATGCACGCAACGCATTTCATGTGTGCCCGACGAGTGAGCGGCAACATAAGGACTTTGAAAAACAACAATAAAACAATACAAACATTACTACAGTAAAACTTATACATCAACGTGGCAACAATGCTTTGAAGAAGCCTGACAACCCGAGAGATTTTGGTTTTGGGAACCCAGGGAATTCTGGGGATTATTTGTCGTAATTTCGAGGAGTTTTTCCTTACATGCTCATAACTACCAACGTTTGTTAACTTTTTTTACAACTTTGTCCAGAATTCAAAATAGCTGTGATTGATTATACTCGTACGCAGATATTACTTTTGGTAACAATGAATAACAAAATAAATAACTAGGGTATACCATTTAATTTAAAAAGGAGGTTATATTGTACATTACCAGTTTTATAATGCAGATATTAGCGAATTTATTTTGTTAACCACAATTTTATCATATATAAGGCTATATAACTGTGTTGTATACAGCACCGTAGTTTAACGCAATAAAACGTTCTATCATAAAACGTAATACAACTTTAATAAGACAAGTTTAAGTAATTATTATATGATCTTGTGACTACTAGTTATATGAATATTATAGAACACTTACATGGTGGGTATAAGAGTCTAATAATAAAATAATATGTTTGTTATCATATAGCATTGGCTTATTGTTATATCATAATTAAAAGAAATTATCGGTTAATGCGTTATAGGATTACGTTGTAAAAACTACTAGAAAATAGTTTAATATGACAACTTTACCTGTATTAAGTTAGAACGGTCGAAACCAAACGCTTAATAAAATCAAGCAGTCCTTAAGACAACGCTATTCGACTGTTATAAAATAATTCAATCCTTTTAGAATTTCTTTTTGCTACTTGGGTCCTAAGATATGAATAAATATATTTCGATAGTTTCAGATATATTAATAAATAAATAAAAAATGTATATTTTTTAATCTTCATTAAAAAAAAATACAAATACAAGAACTGTCCTGAAAGCAAAACTTACTTTCCTATAAATATCGTAATCTTAAATCGTACAGGATGTTCAAAATTCTACGCTAAATTTTCTAAAATATAAACTAATATTGCTTTGTTTTTTTAAATGGAACACCCTGTATATTATTTTTTTTTTAGATGGAGAATTAAAAAATGGCGATTTTTTGTATTTAAAGTATTTCAAAATTTTTAATGGTTTCGTAGAGACACGCAGTATTATTTCATATGACTCTCTCAACTGTAAAATACGAGAGAAAAATCATTGGGTGGCTTTGGTAAAAATTTACTATGGAAAATGCCATATAAAATATAAAACCGCGAATATCTGGAAAACCGTTAAAAATTTTGAAATACTATAACACAAAAAATTTTCATTTTTTAATTCTGCATCTATTGAAAAAATATCTAACGAAGAAAAATTATTTTATATTTAAGAAAGTTTGGCGTAAAATTTTGAACATCCTGTATGATTTACGATTACCATATTTACAGCAAAGTAAGTACAGACCATCTAAAGTAAATACTTAATATAATTTTGAGTTCAGGAGAGTTCTTGTATTTTTAATAATTATTTTAAGAAAGGCTGAAAAATGTATATTTTTATTTATTTGTTCTCTGAACCCATAGAAATCTATTTACTTATATCTTAGGATTATGTAAAGTGATCTAAAAACAAACCAAAAATGCAATAATATACAGGGTGTTCCATTTAAAAAAAATCATCCACTCACACTTTTTGACCTACCCTACAGAAGTTAAAATAGTTTCCTGAAATACATCCTAGAATATATTTTAGATTTGTTTGTATTTAAACAAAATTTCCAAATTTTTTATTCTAGGAGCTACAGATGCCCGACGCACTATTACCGGACCCTGTATAACTACATAAACATTTTTTATAGAAGTCAGTTTTATGATGCTTTCTAACCATTGAATAGAAAGACTAGGGAAGGAATTTTGACTTGCTGAAAAACCCACATGTAGAACCCTACCCCATATTTTTACAAGTAAATAAAATTAAAACACCTATGTTTGTTGATAGCTCTCAAAGATATTTAAACTCAACCTAACTTACAATAACATTACAACCTAACCGAGTTTAAATATCTTTGTATGCTCTCCTTCCTTAGCCCACGGCCACACAGAAACCGTTTTTTGCGTTTTGCGTTTTTTGCGTCTCAAGCGCTTTTTGCGATTTTACCGTTTTAAGCGGTTTTTTCGATTTGTGTCCATTAAAAACACGCAAAAGACGCGGCAGGTCTGCAGTTTCTATCAAGATGTCAATTAGTAAGCTCGTGGATTCCCGGCCCGTCCAACAATCAATCCTGTGAGAAAGAGATAGGCGAGATCGGCGCCGTTAGCGTTGAAGAGACGAAGATAAAAGATGCTGGGATTGAATTGTGGACGGGCCGCGGCATATATTCGGAGACAAACACAATCTACTGCTAGTGCCAGTGGTATGTGTAAAAATAATAATTATTATTTGCCATTTATTTTACGAATTTTAGTTTATATGTGTATAGTTTTTTTTATGTTGTAGTGTTGTGATTAGTACTTGTTATAATTATAATATAATATAATAAGTAATTATAATTATATAATAGAATAGTAAATATTTCTAGTTGCTAATGCAATTTTAGGACATGATTTAGAAACATTTTGAGTGAAACTCTTTACGCGCGCTGGGGAGTCAAATTGAAGGCCGTGACATACGAGCTAGTGAGACGGCCCTGACACACGAGCTCGTTGTAACGAAACGCGTTAACGGCTTAGAAATACGCAGTGACGCGACGTGTGTATTTGTGAGCAGTCCACGTGTTTATCAAAAATATTGATATTTTAATACAAATTTTGTAAAAGTGAATCAAATTATTACGTGTAAAAAAAATATTTGTTACACGCAAAAAACTATTTTTATTATTTTACGCGACTAAAACTGTTACACGTGAAAAACTATTTTTTACGCTTATAAAACTATTTGGTACTGATAGAAAGCTATTCTTTACGTGTATAAAACTATTTGTTACGTGTCAAAATCTATTTGTTACACGTAAAAAACTATTTTTTACGCGTCAAAAACTTATTTTGTTTCTAGTAAAAAATCTTTCGTTATGCAAAAAAAATTATGGGTAAAAAACTATTTGTTACACGTACAAAACAAATTTTTACGCGTCAAAAACTTATTGTTTCTGGTAGAGAACCTTTCTTACACAAAAAAAATACGTGTAAAAAAACTATTTGTTACACGTAAAAAACTATTTTTTACGCGTCAAAAACTATTTGTTTCTGTTAAAAAAAAACTTGTTAACGTAGAAAAAGACACTTTTTACGCATAAAAACCCTACTTTTTACGCGTAAGAAAATATTCCTTCAATTTATTACTTTTTCAACATTTCAAACTACACTTTTTCAAACATTTCCTTCAAATTTTTGAATTTAATAGAATCTACCTAAACAGTAGATGTTCTTTATAAAATATTTTTAGATAATACCCTAAAAATGAAAAAAATGCATACTATTTAATTTATTTTTTATTGCATTATTAAATATTACGTCCGCCTATGACGGGGTCTCATAGAAAACGCTAAAGACGCTACAGAAAACAAACTGATTTGTTTTCATTTGCGTTTTTTGCGAGACACGCCGAACGCTACACGCCTTTGGTGTGGCCACTCCTATATAATCCTGTTATTTTGTTTTAGTCGCTAAAGATGCTTCACGCTAAAAACGCATAAAACGCTTTCTGTGTGGCCGTGGGCTAAAGTCTTTTTATTCAACGCTTGACTATTATATCCAACTCAACCCCTTACCTGTGTATCCCTTAGCATAGAACGGCATATCTTCCGGGTACTTGCTCTTCTTCACAGTCTGTCCCGCCACAGGACAGCCGCTAAGGGAACGGTGCGTTAAAAAAGAGCCGTTGATGTGGCCCGTGCCGTCGCACCCCGGGGTGGGACAGTTCACCCCGTCGAACTTCATGGCCGTGGCTGCCGCGACGGCCGCTTTGTGTTGTTCCACGCTACCGCCACTCTCCAGCACTCTCATCTTGTTCCTGTTGGCTATCGGACAACCAGAAGCACTAAAAAAGCGAAGTTGGTTTGAAAAGATAAGTTAGAGATGTGACAGTTTATGTCAAATTGTTTTTGAAGTGTCTAGTCGTCCGCTAAACGGATGAATAATAGTATATCAATAGTATATTAAACAACGACTTTCGAAAACGACGTTTTGCACACGAGTTCGACAGTTTGTTGGCTCAAGCCGCAGGCAAGCCACAAGTCGACGAGCGTACAAAGAAGTTTTCGAACGAGTTTTTTACGCTATTTTTTCTACGACTACAAATTAGCAGCAGACTCACTCAGTTTTTGCCAGTTTTGTGAAATAATTTGCGATGTAATGATGACACTTTTCTGACGGATGCGTTGCGTTTGGCGTTTCAGCTGAACATTGGAGGTTAAAAATGTTAAAATTGGCACATGTCGTGTGCAAAATGACACATGTCGCGCGCTAAATCCTTCGCACACAACATTTGAATAAGAAGACTAAGGAAGGAGCATAATGCTATCCATGTATTCATGCATGGTGGGCGGAAAAAGCACTCTAGGGTGGGGATCCTTGACAGTTCTGTTTGACGATTCATTTGATACATTTGAATTTGATTTGCAATTTTGTGGATTTGCCGTCTTTACTGAGCTTATTTTATTATTTACATGTTCTACTACTGATAGTTGTATAAAGGTAGTAAATCTAGATGGAAATTGTGGCAGAACTTAAATTAACAGTGATACTATCGCGATTTCATCGAAAAAAACTAAAATAGAAGGTTGTAGCGTGTGGTAGATCTCGGTTTGAGTGAAATAATGGAACAATTTTTCGCTAGTAAGTGACTATATAATATACATACGTGTAGTAAACCGATCATTTATGAAATTCACTTTAAATTAACTAAATTATATATTTTTTCTTGCATTTAGCTTTTATTTATTACTTGTCAAAGAATTTAGATAGTTAATTTGACTTACCTGCTTCAGTAGCGTATCGGATGTTTGTGTTAATAAATACTTATTATAACTTATCTATTTTATTAGGAATTATATTTTTTATAACAATTTTAATAACTACTCACATTTATTCACAACGTAAATAAACAAAACAAATTATTGAGTCTACCCCACGTCTACACTACATCATAGTTTTACATTTTTTAAATAAAATTAGAACGACACTGATAAACCGGAATTTAAGTCGGCCATATTTGAGGCCCATCGCGGTGTACCTAAGATTTTTGATATGCTCCTTCCTTAGTCTTCTTATTCAAAGCACACAACAGTTTGCAAAACGCCAATTTCAGATCGAGTTTTCCGTGTGTCAAACTGATTTGCACACAACAGAGCATTGACACTTTGCAAAATGCTGTGTGCTAAGGATTTAGCGCACGACATGTGTCATTTTGCACACGACATGTGCTAATTTTAACATTTTTAACGTCCAGTGTTCGTCAGAAAAGGGTCATCATTACATCGCAAATTATTTCACAAAACTGGCAAAAACTGAGTGAGTCTGCTGCTAATTTGTAGTCGTAGAAAAAATAGCGTAAAAAACTCGTTCGAAAACTTCTTTGTACGCTCGTTCGACTTGTGGCTCTTGCCTCTGGCAACAAACTGTCGAATTCGTGTGCAAAACGTCGTTTTCGAAACTCGTTGTTTAATATACTATTTTTATGTATCAAGAGAATTATAAGTGAGGGATAATAATTGCCCTTTTCTCATAGCAACTGTTAAAATTGCCTTATATCTATCAAAAATAGTAAATAAAAAATAATACTTTAAAAGCGAAGATAGGTTAAAAACTTTATTTCTTCTCGCACGTTTTTTAATTGCTTCCATTTTTGAACATTTTTGTATTCCTTTTCATAAGTTATTCGGGATTTAAATGGAAGTAGTTTGGATATGACGTTTGTCGCCTCAGCCTGAATATCTGTTGGTAATTTACGTTTTGAGCCATTCCTGGCTCCAAATCAATCAGCAATCGGCACGAAAGAGAATTAAAAAATATTGACTCAAAACTGACAACTAAAGAGGCAGCTTTATTTATTCGTCAAATTACATAGAAACCAACGCCAACCCAGCACAATATTTTTTCTACTCGTAATAAATTCCTTGAAATAATAATTTCTGAATATTTTTTAAAACGTAACTCGCCGTGGAAAAAAATATTATTTTATACACTACGATAAAATTGCATTGTCTCCCGAAATTAATTATTATTTCTATAAAGTATAAAAATAACTATTAATTGCCCGAGGTTATTGGAATAAAAAAAGGTTCGATTTTTTTTTGTAATCTCTAGGATCTTCTCACTGTAACTTAGGTATTAAATTATTAGATATCCAATTTCGGAGCCTTCAAGAAGGCCACATGAATACAATTTTCGACAATATGCCTTTAGGGCTCGAACACACTGACGACCAGGTCGCACCGGCCAGGCCGCAGCTACCTCTAAAACCATTAAATCAAATGATATAGCGCACACTAACGTCCTGGCCGTCCGTTGGTCGTTGCGACCAGAACACTGCACGGAAATATTATTATTTTCTGCCGCTTGTTGCCGGTTTTCTTCCAAATTAATAATTTTTCAGATGAAATCCCCCAAATTCAAGGCGCAATATTTTATTTTCTATAAAATATAGTGTTTTACTGTAGTTTTTGCATACGTACAGAAAATCCAAAGAAATAGTATACAGACTGGATCAAAGGTAAATTTAAATCTAATCCTTTTTTTTTATCAAGGGTCGATTCTAATAAAAATTCAAAATATTTTTATATGACATACCTACTCTATTTATGGTTGGTATGATACCTGTTATTATACCTTTGAGTTTCGATGTTCAAAAATAAAAAAATAATATTTAAAGTTTTTCTACAACCATTTGTCTTTTTTATTAAATTAGTTTTTTAAGTTGTATTGTAGTCATGTACAAGGAGGAAAACTGTATTTTAAATATTATATTTAATTTAACGTTTTTTAAACAGGGTTCATTAGACTATATTTCTACTAGGTACATTATTTTGAAAAAAAAATTAAGAAAGTAACTTAAATATTCATAAAAATAGAAGTAATTACTGTTGTAGATTCTTCGTTATATTGTAAACATTGAAATAACTGGAAGCTAAACTGTCTACCTGCTTATATTTAGAGCCAGTGTCTCACGATCTTTTTTTACGATGGCCCTAATATGTTTACTTCTAAAATCGATAAGGGCGCCATATCAGTAGAAAAAAGAAACAGAATATCTCCCTTTTTGTCGGTCGCGCGTACACAATGCTTTTTGTTTGTTGTGAATAGCAACTTCGCTTTTTAGTTAACTCGGATATTTTAACATTTCTGAAACAATATTTTCTAATTGGTAAAACGTAAAAAATCGTTAGATTTGACAACTCTGTTGAAACTGGTCGTTCATCTGGCCGCAGCTAAAAACGCAATACATCCGGCCAGCCGACGGCCAGGTCGTTGCGACCTGGTCGTCAGTGAGTTCGAGCCCTAAAGGACCACGAGTCTAGTTTGTGGATAATACTAAACATAATATTGGTGTAAGATCTAGATTTTACCTTCTGTGGGATAAAAATTTCCCAGTTGCGTGTCCTGATCCGTCGCACCCTGGAATAGGGCATCTGATGCAAGCGTGTAAAAAATCATATCATAATCAACAAACAATAGTTTGTTTATAGTCTACAAAAAGTTTATAGTCGACAAGAGTTGTTGAAAAAGATTCTTTTTCTCTAGAAGAGTTGTTTAAAAAATTTTCTTTACTAATTCACTTTAAAACGAAAGCAGTGTGTTGCAATCAAAGTGAACTCTTTTACATTTACTTATTCCTTTAAGTTTTTTAATTTTTTATTATAACTATGTCAAAAATGTTTATTTACCGTAAAGGTTCTGAATCCTGTCCATCCCTAGGCTTGCTCTTTGGTTTGTTCGCCCTCGGACACCCGGATAGGCTCCTGTGGGACGAGTAGTTTCCTGTAACATGTCCCGAACCGTCGCACCCTGGTGTCGGACACTTCAGTTCTTGAGAGTGGGCTTGGATTTGGCTCCTGTCACTTCTTGGACAGCCAGGCAAGCTGTAAAAAATGCCAAACATTAAGATATCGAATCACTAAAAATCTATAGGGTTTAATTTAACTATAAAGAATGATTTTATATAGGGTGATTCACGATGATGGTTTGTTAGACGGTTATGGAAAACCGACGATTTTTTAAAATTGAATTTTTGCATAAAGACAGTTGCTTCATCTGTCTATATTATTTTATTATTAAAAGTGGTAGCATTTTTGCAAAATCTTAGCAAAAATCGTTTAAATAATCGTAATTTTAAATTGAAGCCTATGTACAATGTTTTATATTTTATCTCGAAAACTGCTAGAGATAAGTTAGTATTAAAAAAGTAGGTAACAGAAAAATTATGAGATATGAAAGTAATTTTCAAAAATTTGTATTAGTATACCGGGTGTTCCATTTAAAGTAACAAAGGTGCTACTACTTTTCAAATACGGCAACATTGTGACGTTGAAAATATTGTAGATAGATGGAGCAGGTGCCTTTATGCCAAAATCTAAAATTTTAACAAATATTTCAGACAAAATGAATTTGTAGAGAATATAATTCTCCCCATATTTGTTTATAATCTGTTTTGTCGAAAAATGCAAAGAGTTAAATCGCAAAAAGAATAAAATTTTAGATGGCGGACACTTCCCATGTCAAATATATGAGAAAAACTGTGATTTTCTCACCTGCTTGTCAAATGGAGACTCACAGCGTCAAAAGTTCCGACTCCCTAATTTTTATGTTAAAAAAATCTAAAATGATTGGGCTACATTATTCTGATGTCTACTGTCACGTTGTTTTAGGTGTTTTCAAAACTAGAAATTTTAATTTTATAACTTTTATATTTTTGGACTTTTCCTGTATAAAAATTAGAATCTTCTTTGGCGCCGCCGCCGGGAGGCACGTATAGCCGCCCATACTAAAATATGTTAATAAAAAGTTGGTAGGCAGTCCTTTTAGTTTCAAAGTAAAGGAATTTTTCCAAATTTTTTTATCTCAAAAACTGCGACTTGACTGATTTTGATGTTAGAATTTTTTAGAATGAATTTAGAATGAGTGGGAGGGGGGTTAATCATTTCGACCTTACAGATCCATTGTGTCCCCCTTTCTTGAATCATAACTCATCATACAGTCCCAGGGCTTTGACAAAAGCCAGTATCTGGGACGGTTTTATAGAGGGTAGTTCTCCATCTCCAATATCAGTCGTACCAAAATTCATGGCACTAATGGTTGTCGTCTCGGCGCACTCAGTGATGAGGTGTACTGGTGTTTCACCATCTCCCCACAGAATCTGCATTCGCCCTTTCTTCTTAGTTTCAATCTACTGAGGTGTTCATTGAGGAGACAGTGTCCTGTTAAAAACCGCGTGACAATCCGAAGATTGTTCTTACTTAAACCCAGGAAGATCTGTGATTTTTCTTGATCATAAGCCCTTAGAAACTTCTTCGAGTATCTTAGACCGTTGCAAGATTCCCATTCCAGGTTGCGGACGGAATCTTCCAAGTTCTTGAGTTCCGCCTTGAGTTGGTAACCACTTGGAAAGCAGAACGGTTCTGGTCCAGTTAGTGAAGTGTTCGCTCCTTTTCTAGCTAGATCATTTGCATTTTCATTGCCTTCTATCCCTTGGTGAGCAGGCACCTAGAGTAGGAGGACTTTGTTTTTTTTACCTAATTTATTTAGCTTCTCTATGCATTCTTTGACCAATTTCGAGTTGATTGATACTGAGTTGATCGCTTTTAACGCTGCTTGACTATCAGATAAGATGGCTATTTCTTGTTTCCGATAGTTCCTATCTAAGATAAGTTGTACGCATCTTTCGATAGCGTAGATTTCTGCCTGTAGGATGCTAGGGTAAGTGCCGATTGGTTCGGAGTATTTAGCTCTCGGCCCAAACACTCCGATCCCTGTTCCCGTATTGGTTTTGGAAGCATCAGTATACCAAGTTATGGTATGGTCTTTTAACTGCTGGGCAAGCGTTTCGCTCTTCCAATCCTTTTTATTGCTCAATACTACATGGAGATGTTTCTCAAAGTTGTACGTTCTTAGCATATCGTCCACTGGGAGTTGCAGGAGTGGTATTTCCTTTATGAGGGTGTTCCAAGCCCCTGATCTGACAATTCTCCCAGTACTAATTCCGTTAGTGACCATTCTAATCAATGTCGCATTGGCATATCTACCAATGACAATGTGCAGTGGTGTTAGATCTAGAATGACCTCCATTGCTGCTGTTGGACAGGTTCTCATGGCTCCTGTGATGCAAACGCATGTTAGTCTCTGGACTTTGCATAGGTTTAGCCTTGCCGTCCGTTGCTCTAGTTTTGTGTACCAGGCAACTGCCCCATAAGTAATTATGGGTCTTACTATCATGGTATACACCCAGCGCAAAATGTTAGGGAAGCAGCCCCATCTATTTCCGGCCAGTCTTCTGCATATCATGAGAGCCTTTATGGCTTTGCTGGTAGTGTTCTTAATATGTCTGTTCCACAGGAGTTTACTGTCCAGGGTTATTCCCAGGTATTTAACTTCCTGTGTTGGCAGCATTTCCTTTCCATCTAGTTGGATTCTTTTCAAGTTTTTCAGACTTCGCCTTCTGGTGAATGGCACTATCGCGGTTTTTTCTGAGTTGATACTCAGCCCGACAGTCCTACACCATCTCTCAGTGATACGGAGTCCTCTTTGGATAATATCACACAAGGTGCCTGCATGTTTCCCCCGAGCGATCATGACTATGTCATCTGCATACCCAATGCAGTGTATTCCCGCTAGAGTTAATTCATCTAGTAGTTCATCCACCACCAAGCTCCACAGCAAAGGGGAGGTTACTCCACCTTGTGGAGTTCCTTGCGTTGTTTTAACAGCTACAGTTTTGGTGCCCATCTGAGCCTCTGCTGTTCGTGTTGACAGCATTTCCCAAAACCAGCGAATAATAGTTCTGATGTTATTACAAATTTTGTTGCAAATATTATTCCTAATCTTAAATTGAAAACCGCGTTTCGCTAGCTACTGTAATTTTGGAGTTACAATTTTTTAAAATTTTTAAGCCCCTCCCATACCCCCTTACCAGCCCCGCACCCCCTTCAAAAACTAATGGCCAGATTGGCGGGTGCCACTGTTTTTTTGTGCCAAATTTGGTTAAAATCGGTTTAGCGGTTTTTGAGTTATCCTGTTACAGACGGACGGACGGACAGACGGACAGACAGACAAACACCATGAAAATATTTTGTATTTAGGTCATTTATGATCCAAATAACTCATTTTGAGTGAAATTAAAAAAAACTTTTTTTTTGCCGATCTCAATAGCCTAATCAATAATAATGTCAGTAGCTAACTATAATGCAAAAAGCTTTATTTAGAAAATCAACATAATCTAGAAATTCAGAATTTAAATTAAATATAAATAATTTTCTATAATTTACATCCAAAGCACTGTATAATATTATAAATAATAAATAAAGCAACTAATTAGATATTCAAATACTGTTAAGTAAGTATCAACATACTTTAGCGTCATTTAAATATAAATACACATTACATACGCTATTTTGAACAATATGTAGGTATTAAGTTTCAACTTTCTTACCCATTATCTTGTAATAGTTGCAAAAATTCACGGCTAAATTCAAACAACTCGCACATATTCAAATGCACATGGTGTGCGATAATATATGTTATTACGGCAAGCAATAAACAAGGAAAAGATTTAAAATAGAATTCAAATAGTCTCGGCCATGCTTAAACGTTGCGTTGGTGCCCGCTTTGCTCGTCATTGAATTGAATTTATTTATTTTGTTAAACAACAGAGTTCGTAGGTCTAGAGTACGCAAGAATTACTACCGGCAGAGTTGAGCTACGGTATTTAGAGCTCGAACACACTGACGACCAGATCGCACCGACCAGGCCGCTGATACCTCTAAAACCATTAAATCAAATGATACAGCGCACACTAACGTCCTGGCCGTCCGTTGGTCGTTGCGACCAGTAGACTACATTAAAATATTATTATTTTGCCGCTTGTTGCCGGTTTTCTTCCAAATTAATAATTTTTCAGATGAAATCCCTCAAATTCAATGCACAATATTTTATTTTCTATAAGATATAGTGTTTTAGTGTATTTTTTGCACACGTGCAGAAAATCCAAAGAAATAGTATACAGACTGGATCAAAGGGAAACTTAAATCTAGTCCCTTTTTTTATTTTAAGGGTCGATTTTAGTAAACATTCAAAACATTTTTATGTGACATACTCTATTTATGGTTGGTATGCTACTTTTTATTATACCTTCGGTTTCGATGTCAAAAAATAAAAAAAATCATATTTAAAATTTTTCTACAACCACTTGTTTGTTTTTTATTAAATTAATTTTTTAGTTGTATTGTAGTCATGTACAAGGAGGACAACTGTATTTTAAATATTATATTTAATTTAACGTTTTTCATATAGGGTCCATTAGACTAATATATTTCTGCTAGGTATATTATTTAAAAAAAAATTAAGAGTAAAAGTAACTTAAACATTCATAAAAATAGAAGTATTTACTGTTGTAGATTGTCAGTAACAATAAAAAAGAGGAATTTATATTATAAACATTGAAATAACTGGAAGCTAAACTTTCTACCTGATTTTATTTAGAGCCAATGTCTGACGACCTTTTTTTACGATGGCCCTAATATGCTTACTTCTAAAGTCGATAAGAGCCATCAGTCGAAGTCCATATCAGTAGAAAAAAGAAACAGAATATCTCTCTTTTTGTCGGTCGCGCGTACACAATGCTTTTTGTTTGGCCTATTTGTTCTGCTTGTTCGTGCGCGCTCGGTTCGTTCTGGCTAAAATGCTCAAATCTGGACGTACCTTTAGGAACAATACATGTCTCACTCTACACATATTAAATTACATAGACGTAGGATGTAGAATATTCTGTTGAAACGACTGATGGAATAGCAGGCATCGCGGATTTGAAAAACATGGAAATAACGACGTTATCGTGTAGTCGGAGTTGGAGATTTTACTTACTCCATTTACCACACCAGTATTTATTAACGAAAAATCCAAGAATATTTTAAATGCATTAGTTAATATTAGAACATTTAATAAGCTCATGAATAGCAACTTCGCTTTTTAGTTAACTCGGATATTTTAACATTTCTGAAACTTAATTCTTTCTGAAACAATATTTTCTAATTGGCAAAACGTAAAAAATCGTTAGATTTGACAACTCTGTTGAAACTGGTCGTTCATCTGGCCGCAGTCGTGGCGACGGCCAGGTCGTTGCGACCTGGTCGTCAGTGAGTTCGAGCTCTTAAACAAAATATTTAGGATTTACTTTTTTATTTAAAGTTACCAGATGTTACATCATTCAAATCGGAATATCAGTTAAAATATCTTTATTTAATGGTCTCTAACAGACAAACGAAACATTTTTGTATAGAAGCGTTGTGTTTAATTAACTTTATTTTGATTACCAAAAATACGTAACAGTTAGTTCCCTGTCCAAGGAATTTTGAGCACCTTGTATACGTTCTAATTTATCCAATAAGAGAATTCCAAACACATACTCTCCTTACTTATCTACGTATATTGTGAAAACAGATCTGTTGTACTTAAGTAATATGATAGGATTTATAACAATAGGAGGGTGTTTCCTCCAATAATCTACAAATTACTGTATCCGGTTTCCCACTGTAGTATAGGAATAATATCGAGATATGTGTACGCCAATAATACAGAGAATGAACAAGCTTTACAGTGGATATTCAATCGTATGTATTCTATTATTCCCTATAACTCTTTTATTTTTTCAGAGAAAAAAAACGAGATTTGGTATGTTTGTATATGTACATAAATTAGGATTAATTATTGACCTATTCAATTATTTTCTATCACTTCCTGTTTCAACGGAAGTGAATACAACTTTGGATGTTCAAAAGATAAACTGCATTTTTTAACATAAGCTTGAAAATTTTTACTAGTAATTTTTACTAGTAGACCTTCGAACATTGTTCTTTTTAGAACCTCTTTTAGTGCGAAGTGTACAAGATTTAATAGCTTAATAGCCGTAAAAACCTCATCGCAACTTTATTAGAATATTTTGAAACGGGACAGCAATAGCAATGGCCCTTTATGTCCCTTAAGTGCTGTTAAGGAGGTGAGTTGTGTTGATGAAAATTAGCATTTTCCTAGTTATTTAAGATTGGAAATGTTGATTTTTCATCTAAAAACTGCATATTTTTTTGCAAGTTTTTATAAATAACTCGAAAACCTTGTGTTTTATCGAAAAACTCATCTAAAGCAAAAATGAAGCTTTTGGAATAACTAAACGATCCATTTTTTGTTGATTATCGTAGGTGTAACAATAGCCGAGTTATCATTATGTAAACGTGATTTTTTATTTTTCGAAAACTAAATTGCAACCTTTTACCGTAAAGTAATGGGGAAAGAACACATTTTTCGAAGAAAATGAATATTACCGTTTTTAAAGTGCTTGAAATGACCTTTTAAATGTTTTCTTAAAAAAGTTCGTAGATTAAAAAATCGCGGAGTTATGATAAAAATAATATGGTCACCTGATTATTTCGGAAAAAAATTAACCACAAAATCTATGACTAAAATCATAAAAATAAAAACTAAGCGTAATACATGTACAGGGTGGGTCAAATTCGACGCTTTTAAATGGAAACAACCTTTTCTATAGGAGATAGACGAAAACTAATGTCGGTGTCTGGAGCTCAATTTTCATAAAAAACATAATGATAAAAACCCCACATCAATATCTGTTACCGTTTCGGAGTTACGGGGTGTTTTTCAAAAATGTGCATTTTTAACAAATCGCTGTAACTTTTTTGCTATGGAAAATTTTGTATTTCTATGCAAACATTTCCAAAGCACCTTTTTACGTAGAATTTAATGGTTTAAGTATATATTTTTTTAACTTAATAATTTAAGAGTTATCAACAGAAAAATTGATTTTTTATTTGGGACACCCTCTATATTTTTAATTAACTGAAAAGAATTTAAAATTACCTTTCCAAAAATATAGCACACTTGATATTATGTTATAATCCCCTTCGATATACAAAATTTTTAAAAGTTCGCCACTTTTAACTAGTAGGCTTTGGACCCCTTATTGATGATATGCTCTTATAATGGAACTCGAAAACATATTTTTCCGGCAAGACGACGCGACGCACCGCCTCTGAACGCTGAAGTTATCAGAAAATTTTTGCAGCCAATTTCAAGAATAATTGAATAGCTAACCAAGATCCAGCCGTTGGCCGTCGAGGCCGCCTGACTTAGTGCCCATGGATCTAATCCTATGGATATATTTGCGGAAGAATAAAGGTTCCTTATTCTTCCGTATAATCTAGACAAGAATTAGAAATACTTAGCAGTTATGAGAGGGTATCTTTCAACCCCATTGAGTTAATGAATTCCGCGAGAAATGTTCAAAAACTGCCCCGTCTGTCCATAACAGAAGACGGTTGATATGTCGAACACCTGTAGCAAAATCTCATGTCTTGGTTTGCTATTTATTTTTATTGTTATTAGATATAGTTTAAATGTGTTGATGTTTGTTAAATATATTTTAAATTGTTATAAAATTCTGCATCTCTCATAGCAAATATTATTTTCGTTTTAATTGATGCTCACAGCTAGAATTTTTTTGCATTACAGCCGGTGCCGTTCAAAGCCTATACTCTATATGTTGAAGAGGAATCCAGCAAAATATCAAGTGTGTTATATTTTTGGAAAGGTAATTTTAAATTCTTTTCAATAAATTAAAAATATACAGGGTGTCCTATATAAAAAATCAAATTTTCTGTTGATAATTCTTAAATTATTAATTTTAAAAAAAATTATACTTAAACCATTAAATTCTACGTAAAAAGATGCTTTGGAAATGTTTTCATAAAAATACAAAATTTTCCATAGCAAAAAAGTTACAGCGATTTGTTAAAAATGCATATTTTTGAAAAACACCCCGTAACTCCGAAACGGTAACAGATATCGATATGCGGTTTTCACCATCATGTTTTTGACAAAAATTGAGCTCCAGACACCCATATTAGTTTTTGTCTATCTCCCATAGAAAAGGGTGTTTCCATTTAAAAGCGTCGAATTTGACCCACCCTGTACATGTGGCTATATTTAGGTACTAGCAATTGACTCTGCAAGTATGAGCGGTTTAGAATGCCTACATTTGAAAAAAAGTTGAAAATAATGAAAACAATTTATTTTTTGTTTTTTTAAAAAATTTTATTTTTTTTGACATATCTCAAAAACTAAGCAAGATACGTAAAAAATGCAACAGAGGAAAATTAAAGGTCTTTTTTTGCAATATTTTTGCTCCATTTTAATTTTTCTGTAGATCTCTTTATTTCGTAGATATTACGTTTTTTTAGTTTGACTTGCATGTAAGGACCACCTTCTTTGAGCCCTTAAAACCCAAAAATCTCGTGAAAATGAAGAGTTCAAGACTGTTCAACTATAGAGGTTAATTTGTAGCTTGTGTAATTTCCTACAAATTGATAGTTTTTATTTTTATGATTTTAGTCATAGATTTTGTTGTTAATTTTTTTCCGAAAAAATGAGGTGACCAGTTTATTTTTATCATAACTCCGCGAGTTTTTGAGCTACGAACTTGAAAAGACATTTAAAAGGTTTTTTCAACCACTTTAAAAACGGTCATATTCATTTTCTTCGAGAAATGTCTTCTTTCGCCATTATTTTACGGTAAAAGGTTGCAATTTAGTTTTCGAAAAATAAAGAATCAAGTTTACACAGTGATAACTCGGCTATTACTACACCTATGGTAAACAGCAAAAAATGAATCGATTCGTTATTCCAAAAGCTTCATTTTTGCTTTATATGAGTTTTGCGATAAAACTCAAGATTTTCGAGTTATTTATAAAAAATTGCAGAAAAATATGCAGTTTTTAGATGAAAAACCAAGATTTTCAATCCTAAATAACTCGGAAAATATTAATTTTCTGAAAAAATGTTATAGAGTATTTTTTGCTTAGAATTCATCCCTTTATGGATTTTTGTAACTAAAATGGGTGATCTATTTTTCACCCCCAAGAAGGGGTGGCACTCACCTCCAGGGTGAAAGCACACTATGTAACTTTGATCGCTACTATGTAACTTTTGTTTCTTACATATATTCACTATTCACTGTTAAAATTTCACGTCAATCGGTGCAGGTGTCAAGAATTCGGAGGTAATATCCTATTTTTATGCTCGCGTACCGGCCTAATATAAGAATACAATATTTTATTTGATAGGGTACTGTTTCCGTGCAATACCAAACAAGTTTATTTTTTCCTGATATTCTAACCTTACCCGTCTTTATTTGGAGACTTGTCATGCTGCGGCAAAGAGTGCTGTGGAGGTGGCATCGAGTAACAAGCACCAGGTGAGTAACCTCCGGGTGGTACCGGGTATCCTCCCGTTGTAACAGCTCCGGGGTATCCCCCAGGACCGCAAGGGTATCCAGCCGGTGTAGGATACGGTGCTGAGTATGGATTGGAAGCGTAGTCCGATGCCACAGTTGTCATACCGTAGCCTGGATGGGGACTCATAGATCCATAAGCTGTAAAATTATTAATAAAATGAATTTATTATGTATGATAGTTTTTTAACAAAGATATACGGTCTGTTTTTCGATCATTGACTGTTACGTCATGTTTATCATAGTCCAGACCAAGCAGACAAAACAACGACAAGACAGAAACATTCATTTTACGACAAAATTGCGACAAATCCAATACCTTTCCGCGACATTTTTGTTTTGTTTCAAAATTTGGAGACTTTTCAATGTCCCGTCTCGAGTCGGTAAAGATCAAAGTGTCTATATGTTTTGTTTGTATATTTTTCGACGTGTGTGTGTGTCTCTATGTTTTGTTCGTATAAGTTGTCGGTGCAGTGTGGATGGCGTGTGCTGCCAAAAGTAGGGGACCAGTGAAATCACACATGGTTAATAAAACTCATTCACAACTAAATTTTTGACTTTGTTGTACTTTTGTCATTGCGGTGCGGACAATTTGTCTGAAGTTTGTCGTATCAGAATTTCCCATTTTTTGTCGCAAGTTTGTCTTGTTTTTGTCTCGAAATCGTATTTACTTTTTATCGCCTTGGTCTGGACCTGGCATTTCTTACGATTATTTTGTCTTTTTATCATCATTAACGAAAAAAGATCCTTCTTTGTTTAATGTGCACGAATAGAAAAAGACTAACATAATTTTAGTATTAACAGTTGAACTGTCCATGAAATGTTCACAACTTATGGGCCACTTCGAAAAATACAACTGAAAATCAATATGGCGTCGAAAATGATGACGTAACAGTCAACGACTGAAAAATAAAGCATACAATATAATCGACACAAAAAACAAACACTTTCATCTCTTTAAATGTTCAGTATATTTTGTTCTAGCAGTATTTCTAAGTCTTATTACCTGCAGCATCCCTGCTGTATGCATCCATGTAGTGGGATCCTCCGCTGTCAGGAGTTGATTCTCTACTGTATCCAGATCCTGGACCAGGGGCAAGGACCCCAGGTGGTGCTCCACTGGCTCCAAAAGGTCGAACTCCACTAAAATATTTTTGAAAATTATGTAGTAAAGATCTGCCAATATTTTGAATTGAAACAATTAAGGTAACTAATTGTTTTTAACTCTAGTTTTATCTAATACAATGGTTTATTATAGTTTTTCCAAGCCAATGTTATAATAAAAAAGAAGTATGAGGCAATATTTTATTTAATTATTGTTTGTTTTTACCTGTGGGATAGTCTGCTGACACTGAGATCCAATGTTTGGCCTTGGGGACTGGGTACTTGTGGACTTGCTGAAAGATGCGGACTAGCCGCAGCCTGGGGACTTCCCCCAACTCTCTGTCCTCCGTAATGTGGAGAACTATAAGCTACCTGAAATTAAAATACAATTTTACATCGTTATTTATTTATTTACAACAAATAACTTCTATCTTACTTAAAAGACATTAATTTTTGTTGTAAAAACAGACGCAATAAAATAAGTGGAATAAGCAGAATAGAACATTTAGTTTGACCCTCGTAGCTATTGTAAGCGCTGGTCATAGTGGTCAATTTGTTGAATAAATAAATGAATTGCCTGATGACCGGGAATAAAGCTGGATAGAGGAATTAACAGGTAGGGACAGGCGTTGGTCAGAATGGTCCACCGCAAACCGAGTCTCGCGCTGAATAGTGAATGAGACTATGTAAGCTGATTTTGTATACTGACCAGCGTTTTTGTCTTACCAACATTTATATATATATATATATATATATATATATATATATATATATATATATATATATATATATATATATATATATATATATATATATATATATATATATATATATATATATAGTTTAGCATATTAGTGTTTCTTTATATAGTAACGTAGATTATTTCTTTTTGTTTATCGAATGTAATACCACAAGATGTTTCGGAATTACCGAATAATACTTTTACCTGACACGAAATGCGTTACCCGGCAACACTACGACTCTGAAGGAGGAGTAGTGTTGCCGGTATCGCATTGAGTGTCAGGCAAAAGTATTAGGCATGCCCTAGACACTCAATGGTAATTTTATAGAACTCCAAATTTAGTTTCTTTCGCATCGCCAGACGGCGCAAAAGACATTAAAGTAATGGTTTCTAATTTATATATGAAGATGACATGACAGTCCCTATGTTGATTATTGTCTGTGGTCTAGTTTTTGTCTAGTTGACATCATGTTGACATGTTGACAAAATGTTGGTGATCCGATCATTAATTCAGATATTCCTGATTTATCGGAAAGTTCGGTGATTTCAGTGATTTGTGTTTATAGTTTGTGTTTTTATTAGTTGGTGCATTGATATTTAGAGTCGATCATCATTTTCGTGTTAGATACTAAACTTTTTTATTAAAGTCATTCTGACATTTTAGAAATTATAAATTTATGAACCAAATAAAAAAAATAGTTTAATCATAATTAAGTAAGTACATAGTTGGTAATATATAGTATTTCTTGTAACAGTTAATTAGTAGTCTATAATATTTTTGCTATATAATTTACTTGTTAAATCAAAAAATAGGCGCTATGTGCTCTATTGTTGGTGTTTAAAATGTATGTATATATTTTAATTTTGTTTTAATTATATAATATTTTTATTTAACACTTCTAATGATCTAATATAGTTACACTTCTAATGATCTAATAAAACATAAAATGCAACAAAAAGTCTATATTTATTATTTTATATTTTACAAGGAGTAATTTTGAGCTTGAATAACGTTACCGTTTTAGTTAGCGTTAATAAGTAACGGAATGCTGAAATTATGTTATGTCAAAACTCTCCATTAGTTTCTTCCGGATCACCAGGTGGCTCTAAATGACGGACCCATTTGTTTTATATCAGTGTCCAATCTATCTCTAGTACATGACATTAGTCTATGGTATTAGGTAATCCCGAAACTTCGAGTTGTATTTAAAAGATTAGACAACGAAATAAAGTACATGAAACTGCTTCGGTGTTTCTTGGCTTCACATTTTTAATAGCATCGTCGACTTGAAGCAACAAAATTTTACCAAATCTTTCTTTTGCCATTTTGCAATAAGAATTGATGGGATATTTTGTGGAACTGACAGAAATGACTTCTGAATTAATATTTCAAAAAATGACAATTACAATATGGCCATCAAGCGATAATCACTTAAATGATTATCAACGTTATTATGAACCGTTATTATAGCTAGACAGTTGAAATTTTTACAGATGAATTTATCTATGTTGCCGCTAAAAGAACAAATACTAAAAACAGAATTAAATAAATGTTCATAAATAAAAAAGTACTTTCACTAAACATTATCTTTTAAGTAAGAATTTTACATAGAATCTTTCAAGTCCTCGGTGGCCGCGTGGTTAAAGCGTTAGGACTTTACGCTGCTATGACGTTGGAGCCGTGGTAAGGCAGGTTCGAATCCTAGTCAAGGCGACTTTTTTTTAATCGTTTTTTTTAATTTTTGCATAATTTTACATATTTATTTTTACTTTTTACATATTTATTATTGGTTAATACAATTTTTAGTAATGTGTTTCTTCATTTTTTTTTAAATTACTTAGACGCGCATTCAAAATTTCAGCTAAATCGGAAAAGAAGTTTATAATAATATAGTATCTAATGTTATATAGATAATGAATGGTACGGAACCCTTCGTGCGCGAGTCTAACTCGCACTTGGCCAATTTTTTTTTCTAGTTTTATCTCGATTTTTCCTGTTTTCGGAGTTTAAAATGAGAAACATCCAGATGTGGGTTGGTTGCCCGGGCAAACATTTCCGAGCATTTTATCGAGTGAGTGAGGAGAGAGGCCCGAACATGAAAACTTTCGAAATAAAGTGAGTGAAAAGCGCCCGCGCCGATCTCATTAAAAACTTTTTCCAGGTTTTGGCCTTTTCTACCACCCCTTCCCCTTTACCGCTCCCTGTCTACATCTATTCCCGCTTCCCCAATCGTTACCCAACAGAACTGTCGATTAAAAATATTGACTTTGAGCGAAATTAAGTTGGTGAGGTGGATTTTTCCTCTTTTCCGTTGGAAACGGTTCCTTTTTTCTTCCTGTTAAGCTTTAAATAATCGGTTAAAATATATTTTTTTGTCTGTGTGGACAGATCTAAACCAGGGCTGCTGTTGGTTCAATATCATGTCTCTACGTAAAAAAAGTATGTACAGGGTGGACCATTTTGGTTGTTTCTATAGGGTATCTAGGAAACCGTGAGAAAGATTCAAATTTTGATACTGCAGTCTCCGGTTCTTTTTTTGAAAAAAATTGCAATGGCGCAAACGGATCGTGGCTATCTTGATCGGTTTCGAAGCTACAGGTGGATTCTCAAATTTTGTACTTTTTGAAGATGTTCGATAGTTTGTTTATTTCAGCAACCACGAAAAAATGAATTGTACCATAGTACCATAGCCACGATCCGTTTGCGCCATTGCATTTTTTTCAAAAAAAGAACCCAAGACTGCAGTATCAAAATTTGAATATTTCTCACGGTTTCCTAGATACCCTATAGAAACAACACAAAATCGTCCACCCTGTACAAAAAAAAATTAAAGGAGATACAAACCCCAAATCATAAACACAATACACACAATATATACAACTTACAATTCCATACATACGAGGCGTTTCGGAAAAAATAAGAAGGATAGGAAAAAAATATAACATACGAACATCTTTCAAAACACAAAATACACTTTGGTCCATTTTATCACACACTAAACCAATGAATACCGAACAACAAACAAAAAATGTAATATACAAAATACCACGTGAATCCAATAAATTTTATATTGGTGAAACATCTAGACCCTTAAATGTTTGAATTAAAGAACATAAAGATTATTTAAGAAAGGGCGACTTTTACAAATCTAAGATTTGTCAGCATTCATGGAACACAGGACACAGAATAGATTTTAACAAAGCCAAAATTATAATGAAAGAAGCGATAGCCTCTGAAAGAAAAAAGAAAGAGGCTTTTTAATACAATCTAATAAAAATAAATGTATTGCTCATGCATCTGTAGATGTTACCTAATGAATGGAAATCGCTTCTTTGATTTTAAAGAACATAACATACGTAAATATTAAAAACAAATTAAAAATAATCATACAGAAAGTTTGAAGCTTTTTGGTTTTGCCTTATAAGTAATTGTTATCAGGTAGTAATTGTTAATTTTGAAATTTTACTTGATATAATTTAATAGTAGATTATTTTCTTTTATCTATGGATATAATGTCATTTTAACAGAATGTCAACGGTTTTTGTAGACGTAACTGTTTAAAAAAAACTAAAGTGTTCTCGAATAGTTGCATTTAAATATTTAAAATAGTTCTTTTTTTCTTTATTCTTTGTATTTTTCTGCTTACGACGATGGAAAGAGATAAACTTTTCGAAACGTTAAGCATTTTTTGGTTCGTTAGGCAAATTTGTTTATCAGTAAACCTAATTGCCGACAATTAGTCTCCGTTGGATTGACGCAGCAGTGTTTACAAAAAGTAACTATTTTATTTTGTAAATTTTCTTGCAGTGGCGAAATACCATATAGGAAAAAAGTATTTTTTTTCCTATAAAAAAGTATGATTTAATCAGCCTCTACATTATTTTCTGTATGTAATTATCCCCCTCTGTCTTACCTGGGGGCTGGTGGTGGTGACGCTGGACGTGCTCAGATCGATAACGGTGCCCCCGGGGGACGTGTGGGGCCCAGAGGCCTTCATTTGGACGGCCTGGGCCGTCGTGACGCACTTCACCGACAGGTTGATAGCCGAGAAGCCTACGGGGAGAGGAGCCCCACTGGCCGCATCATATTGGTACATCGGTCTGCAACAGAAACAGGAGAAACAACCATTAAAATTGTTTAGACAGGTTATATTATCTAATATTATATTTATTACATACAGTAAAAAAAAATGATTTTACAAAATGTAGTCAGCTAAATAAATATTGAAAAAATTATTTAACTGCTTCTAAATCATTTTTTTGCCTGATACATATACCGTAAGATCGAGGAAAAAAAACAGCTTTTAGTTGGCTTGAAAAAGTAATCTTTTCGGTATATTTTTTACTATGGTTGGTCTGTACTTACTGTATTATATCAATTAATACATGGTGTTCAAAATTCCATGCCAAACTTGGCAAAATATAAAATAATTTTTCTTTTTTTTTTTTAATGGAATACCCTGTATATTATTTTTTTGTTCGATAGAGAATTAAAAAATGAACATTATTTGTATTTAAAGTATTTTACAATTTTCTTTAAAAAATTTAGAGCTCTTTCAATGGTAAAATTCCAGACAAATATCAAAATTAATTCTCTATCAAACAAATAAATAATATACAGGGTGTTTCATAAAATAATGATTGATTCCAGTGTATTTCTTGTATTTTTAATAATTTGATATTTTTTTTTGTTTATTTATTAATCTCTGTGGAACTATCAAAATCAAAACTATATTAATAATATCTTAGGATTATGTAAAGTGATCAGAAAAGAAAGTCAAAAAAGCAATAATATACAGGGTATTCCATTTAAAAAAGTAATCCAAATCCATTCACACTTTTTTTAACCACCCTGTTGCAGTTAAAATATTTTCTTGAAATACATTAGGTTTGCAATTGAACAACATTCCTAATTTTTTTATTACAGGAGCTACAGATGGCCAACTCACTGTTGCATTACCCTGTATAATAGTCATATACGTACATTTTAACCATGTCGTTTTGTATTGTAAATTTTTTACTGTTACTTGAATAATTAAAAAAATAATAGTTTTTAATTAAAAAAGATTAATAAATTACAAAAGAATATTTTAGTACGCCTCTGGTTTAATTCCTCTGACGCTACCTACCCGCAAAATTAAAAAATGTGGGTCATGGGACCTATCTAAGGGTGGCTTTACAAGCTCCCTTAAAATTAAAATTGTGTAGATACGTTTTGGCAAATTGATCGATACGAAAATGAAACAAAAAAATGTCACCTTATATTGAAAATATTTTATCCAATTTTTTTAGTACCTATATTCATATATCGTATGATCGACAAAAAAAACTGCGTCGAAGACGGCTGGGGAATGACAATCGATAATAATTTTGGTGAGGTTAATCTCTAGAAATTAGTTTTTAAAAATTGACATAAAACTTATTAGGAATTAACACTAATTATAGAAATATTAAAAAAATTATACCTAGAATGTTTTCAGACTCTTTTGAAAATATAGGGTACCGGCCAAGTAGTATCTAGGGCTTGACCTCGCCAATATTATCATTGATTGCCATCTCGCAGCCGACTTTGACACAGTTTTTTTTCGTATGATACAGATTATGTATTTTTTTTCCTTGAAAATCATCTTATAAAGTATTATCAGACTCGAAAAGAATCGAAAAAAGTTGAAATAAAAAATAAGAATTTATTTTTAATCCAAATCATAAAAGCTGCTAAGTAAATAATGATATAAAATACACAGAATAGGTCTGATTTGATTAAAAATAAGTACTTACTTGCCTTGGTATCTTAATATCAGATACTATGAGACTATGAGAGAGAGTTTAATTTCGCTTGGTTGCTAATAATAGTATGCTTTTAAAAATACTACTTTGTGATGCAATGAATGGTTCAAAAGTAACCTGGAGCATTGACACCTATGTTTGTAATAAAAGCATCGTATTGAAATAAAAAAAAACAATAAATAATTCTTTTTATACACGACTCGTCTATAATTTGATTGTTATACATGAGTATATGAAATAATAATAATATTCTCATTATTCACTAGTGAATAATGGTTTCATTATTCACCGCTTCCACGGATATCTCGATCCAAACTCCGAACAAGAGCTGTCAAACATTACCATTAATGTAAATAAATAATTTTTGTTTTAATTAGTTAAAGCTAAATTAGTTAGCTACCTAGTTAAAGAAAATTTCAATGTTTTGTTTCCATGTTACTTACTCGTTATATTCATTCAATATATTTTTGACATTAAAAATAAAAACTTATATTAATATAGTCTATAAAATGAATAACTTTGAATTTTGACCGTTATTTTTTACCAACATGGTAAATATAAAATTCCTCTATCCAAAAGGTTACTGATATTCTTTAAAATAAGTGCCTGAACGAATCAGATAGGTAACTTATTTTACTTTCGTGAAATAGAAAAGGAAAATAATAAAACAAGTGACAGTTCTTCCTCTTCTTGCAAAAATCAACGCGAAATGTCATAATTGACAAAAGGAAAATGTCATCAGCCTTTGACATTTCTAAATATCAGACCAATGCCGTCCCTAATAGAACAGCCTTGGAGCGAGATTTATGACGTCACGCTAGTTAGATACCACGGATTAATAAATATGTTGTAGAATACATGGAAAACATAATTATTCCTCGTATTTTTGGTTTCTATTTTAAAAATGATATAGTTTACATGAAATATACATAATATACAGTTATTAAATACAATATATTATACCTATTTATAGTAATAAATACTTTGGCAAATAAACTAAGAACCATGCAAATGCAGCAAATGTTTTACAATATACAAATAAGATAGGTACATAAGATAATGGGTAAAATGTAAAATATATTTTAAATTTTGGGGTTTGAAAATCGATCTAATTTAACAAAAAACATTCAATATCTACTAATAGTAATATATTATTATTTGCATTCACAAAATTTATATGTATATTTTGCAAGCATCAATGTTCGAAAAATTATATATTTGCAAATAATACAATATCATAGAAAAAAAGCCATGGTCAAAGTCAGCGATAGCTATAAAATAAATATCGCTGTCATTTTATACGTAAAATTATTCTAAAATTTTTGATTTTCTTGGGATTTAGGTTCGGGAAAAACGCTGATTAAATTTTCATTATTTTTTTTGGTTAAAAAAAACGTTATAGCTAACGTTTATCGCCTTCATCAGTGTTGTGTCATATGAATAAAATAGTGTCGAATATAATCCAAAAAATTACATATACGAGGAATAATTATGTTTTCCATGTATTATGTTGTAGAATAATTAATCCGCGTAGTATCTAACTAGCGTGACGTCATAAATGTCGCTCCGAGGCTGTTCTATTAGAGATGGCATTGCATCAGCATGGCCGCAAGTTGCTAACCTAATAAAATTTACACTAGAAAAGCCCGCGGGAACTGTCAAATTCAAAGTTATTCGTTTCACAGACTATATTATCTAAATTTTTTTGATAGTCCTGGATAAAGTATAAGTATTCTACTAGCATATAATGGCTGTTATTCACTTGGATGATTTATGACTGAACTTCATCCGCGTGAATAACAGCCACCATTATATATGCTCGTTGAATAATATACTACTATTAAAAAATTTCTTATTAAAAAAGTTTATTAAAGAAGATGATTATAATGATTATAATATTTCATTAAATGAGAAATATTTTTTGTCTTGCTTTTTACTGTTTGTATTCTTTTGTTTTGTATTCTCTTTTGTTTGTTTCCACCTTTGTCTACAAATTGTAAAATTTTTTGACAATAAAGGTTTGTATTTATTTATTTACCTTGGGTATAAAGGTCCACTGGGTTGTTCTTGATCTTCCTGTTTCAACATGCTTTGGCTGGTTGCTACTGCTATTTGATGTTGTTGGGCAGCACTTGCTTCTTGTTGATACCTGCAGATTCATTAATTATACCAAATTTACATGTAGTCGATATTTTTTAAAGACCCACTATTAGTTTAATCAGAGTAAACAATTTAATTTTAACATACGGGATAAGAATGTCCAAGATAAAAAGATATAAGCATCAGAAGGTATTATTATAGTACCTGTGTTCTTGTGTGTCATCCATGTACCCATATATACCCTGTGGCGGTACCCTTGGTGGGCCCAAAGATTGCTGAAGAGAAACACATTGACTCGAATCATACCTTTAACAGAAACAAACTTTATTATCTTACAAATTCATCCGAAAATCGTACCTTTCAAAGCCATTAGTACCAGGGTCGTACGGTCTGTGACTGGCAGAATTAACCAATGAAGAATCGTAGGATCTGTTGACCAGGTCATTCGAGTACGTCACTACGGGTCTGGCAATGGTTGTCACCGGTTCTGTCATGTCCTGGTACGACCGTTCTCTGTGGTACATCTCTTCGGACATTGGAGAATGGTGATAGGGAGATCTTTAATAAAAAATGTATAATTGAAATATTTTTAAAAAACAAAGCCTGAATAAAACGTGCAATAAAAATAGATGGAAATATTTCATTATTATTATTATTTACAGCGTATTCAACCTTTTCCAGTTATGCTGTAGCCTCCCTGAGTTATTTACTTTTATTATTATATTTGTATATTCTTGGTCTTTAACAGACTCTACTCACCTGTGAGGAATTTGATGGTCCATATTGTATCCAGGATGAGAATTAGGATGAGGACTCAAATGGTGGATCTGGTGAGGTCCCCTGGAGTTCATGGTTTCCATGCTGGATATGGAGGAAGAATTAGAGTCTTGGTTCATGTAAGGTTCGTAGGCCGACCTCAAATTCGCCGGCGGTGAACGACAAGAAGCTGGAGTAGTTATTTCCGTTTTTGGTACAAGAAGTTCGTTCTGGGTCGATCCTGACGAATTAAAAATAGAACATTAGTATAGAAAACGCACTAGCTAAAAAACCGCCGGCGGTATATTTAGTGTATACAAAAAAACTACCGGCGGTATGATATTTGTATATCTGTAAATACCGGTGGAAAATTGAATTAATTTGTCGTTGACGGAGCGGCATGCACTTAACCTGACAGACAAAGGATTTCCAATTGCGGCATATTGTATTTTAAACATAAAGCACCGCTGCATTGGCTAAAACACCGCCAGCGGTATTTTTAGTGCATACAAAATACCGGCGGTATGATATTTATATATCGGCAAATACCGGCGGAAAATTGAATTAATTTGTCGTTGACGGCGGCATGCACTTAACCTGACAGACAAAGGATTTCCAATTGCGGCATATTGTATTTTAAACATAAAACACCGCCGCATTGGCTAAAAAATCGCCGGCGGTATTTTTGGTGTATACAAAATACCGGCGGTATGATATTTATATATCGGCAAATACCAGCGGAAAATTGAATTAAGTTGTCTTTGACGGCGGCATGCACCTAACCTGACAGACAAAGGATTTCCAATTGCGGCATATTGTATTTTAAACATAAAACACCGCCGCATTGGCTAAAAAATCGCCGGCGGTATTTTTGGTGTATACAAAATACCGGCGGTATGATATTTCTATATCGGCAAATACCGGCGGAAAATTGAATTAAGTTGTCTTTGACGGCGGCATGCAATTAACCTGACAGACAAAGGATTTCCAATTGCGGCATATTGTATTTTAAACATAAAACACCGCCGCATTGGCTGAAAAACCGCCGGCGGTATTTTTAGTGCATACAAAATACCGGCGGTATGATATTTCTATATCGGCAAATACCGGCGGAAAATTGAATTAATTTGTCTATGACGGCGGCATGCATTTAACCTGACAGACAAAAGCTTTCCAATGGCGGCATACTGTATTTTAAACATAAAATACCGCCGAAATGATAACATAACCTTTATATTTGCATTTTGATTAGATGATAAAAAAGTTTAGTGTTTATCGCTTCCTAAAAATCGCAGTACTTGAAAAAATTATCTCCATACTGTTGTTCAGCGGTATAAATGTCAATAAATATGTGAAAAAGGCTTTTTTTTCTTCATTTGTCTATACCGCCGGTAGTAATTTAGTCAGTTTGAATAGAAAAACCGGTGTTTGTGTAAAAAAATGTATTACTACCTGATATATTACAGCTTGTAGTTGTCGGCACTTCGTTCTTAGGAATCTTCATGGGATCCGGCTTGATAGGGTTCGTTTTAGCACCATAGTACTGCTCGTAAGACCCGCCGTTTTTGTCTTCTGAACTGGAAGATGCCGGTAGAGGTGTGGTAGAGTAAGGAGAAGCTAGGTAGTTTGGTTTGACGTCTTCGGCTAGTGTTGGAGTCTTTTTACCGGTTTCGTATGAGGAATTTGATGATGCAAAATCGCTCTGAATGTTACCTGAAGATGTTTACTTTTATTAGGGTACGTTTCAGAGCGGCATTCTTGTTAATTTATAGCTATAAGTCATGCATGAGGCAAAATACTGACGATTTTATGATAAGGATTGGGCTGAGATAAAAGAAATATAAATTAAAGTTTTAGTTACTTAATAGGGGGCGCGATTTTTAAATTCATTGCTGACAACCATGGACATATTCAACGTCGGGCTGACTAACTGGAATTTAAATTTCCCGCTGGGGATTCAGGTGGCAGCTCTGCTGTAAAAATGTCAAGTGGCCACATTTATTTATTTATTTTCTGACACAGTCATTTGTTTTGACATTTTAGTTTTGTATAACGAGTTTTTGGTTTAAATGAATTGTGTTGAGATACTTTAAGCTTAAACATTTTTACTCGCAGACCTTGGAGTCGAACATTGTTCTTTTATAGTGCGAAGTGTACAGGGTGGACCATTTTGGTTGTTTCTATAGGGTATCTAGGAAACCGTAAGGAATATTCAAATTTTGATACTGAAGTCTCGGGTTCTTTTTTTGAAAATATCACAATGCCGCAAACGGATCGTGGCCATTTTGATCGGTTTCGAAGCTACAGGGGGATTTTCAAATTTTGCACTTTTTGAAGATGTTCGATAATTTGTTTATTTCAACAGCTACGCAAAAATGAATTAAACATTCTAAAGGCACTTTTCTGTGTAGAATGCAGTGGCGGCGTAGTCAGACTTTTTTCGAAAAAAATATTTTTTTAGATATTAACTATACTTCTGTTTTTTTAAATATAACCCTCTGTATATTTTTAAATTTCCTGATTCAGCTTGGCATGGGCTTCTCGAAAATATATAACACTCTATATTTATTTTCACTATTAACCTCAACATTTCAAATTTTTCTCAAAATATCGTAGTAGGCCGCGCCGAGTAACAAAGTAAACGGTTGTCATGGTGATCGGGACATACCTTTGATGGATGCGTGACATTTCATTTCAACAGATTGAAGTGTGTGTATTATAAATAATAAAAAAATGAGTAATTTTGAAAATTTTGAGAAATATAATATGTTATATTAAGTCTAACAAACATAAGCAAATGGCAGCTGATTTATATTTTGAGCGGTATTTTGAGCGCGAGCAGTTAAACCCAGCCATTTTTAAAAGGTCAGAAAATAGTTTAATTCTAGCTACCTTAATCACCTGATATCACTCCCTTGGACTTCTTTCTCTGGGACTTTCTGAAAAACGAAATTTATTGAAATGCAAATAGAACATTAGAAGAGTCACAAGATAGTTTTGTTGTGGCTTTGCAAAGTGTAACCAACATACACATTCGAAATGCTGTTAGCAGCGGCGAGAGACGGTTCCAACTCCGTCTAGATAATAATGGGCAGCAGTTTGAACATTTAATGTAGTCTTTGTGTTTGAAGCCTGATTGAAGTAACTTGTTGAGTTTGTATTAAAATATATGTTCTTTTGTTTCCGTCACACTTATTTTTTATTTGCTTCGTATGTTCGAATTTATTTAATTGGTAATACATGGATTAATTTGAAAGTAGATATTCGCTTGTTTCCTTTAATACTCTTTTTTCGAGAAACCCATGCCAAATTGAATCAGGAAATTTAAAAATATACAGGGGGTTGTATTTAAAAAAACATAAGTATAGTTAATATCTAAAAAAATATTTTTTTCAAAAAAAGGCTGACTACGCCACTGCATTCTACAGAAAAGTGCCTTTAGAATGTTTAATTCATTTTTGCGTAGCTGTTGAAATAAACAAACTATCGAACATTTTCAAAAAGTACAAAATTTGAGAATCCCCCTGTAGCTTCTAAACCAATCAAGATAGCCACGACCTGTTTGCGCCATTGTGATTTTTTCAAAAAAAGAACCCGAGACTGCAGTATCAAAATTTGAATATTTCTCACGGTTTTCTAGATACCTTATAGAAACAACCAAAATGGTCCACCCTGTACAAGATAGCTTAATAGTCGTTGCAAAAAACTCATCCCAACTTTTTTAGAATATTTTAAACGGAAAAGCGGTAGTAATGGTCCTTTATGTCCCTGAAGTGCTGTTAAGAAGGTGAGTTTTGTTAATGTAAATAACAACTGTTTAGATATTTATAATTAATTTATTTTTGTTTTCTAAAATATTTTGACTAAAAGAAAATGTGTAAAAGTGAGCAACACTGCGCCGGTTAGGCTTAATTACGTGAAGTTTACTTGGTATGATCCCATAAACGAGAAACCCCATAAAATACACAAATTTGGAACACCCTGTATACTGAGAGATTTTTGTCTATTTCTTTTAACACCTGGCCCTTTCCTTTCGTGGCACACTTACCGAACACACTTATAGCCGGATTTTTAAGCCTATGATGCAAACTACTTTGGTATTTGTGCTCCCTGGCCGCCTGTTTACTAGCCGCCGCCAATGGACAACCGGAAAGGCTCCGGTGCGAGTTCCGGTTCGAACTGACGTGGCCGCGCCCGTTGCAGCCCGGAGTCGGGCATTTCAGAATGGTTTCATGCATTGCCAGGACTAGACGGTTTGCAAAAGAATCAGTTTTTTTCAATGTTTTGTTGCTATACATTTAACACTTATACTCGAGATTACTCCATGTTTTTTTTATAGTAAAACAGTAGTTGTAATCCATTTTAATATTGCAGTGGAATCCATTTTAATATCAATATTTAAGTGTATTACATATACCACTTATACTAGAGATTACCTCATGTTTCTAATATTTTTATAATAAAAAAAATATTGTAATCCATTTTAATATTACAGTGTAATCCATTTTAATATAATATTTAAATGGATTACATATACCACTTATACTAGAGATTACCTCATGTCTCAATTTTTTTTATAGTAAAAAAATATTGTAATCCTTTTTAATATTACAGTGTAATCCATTTTAATATTAATATTTTAATGGATTATTTTTTGTTTATTTTCATATACCACTTACACTAGAGATTACCTCATGGCTCTAATTTTTTTATAGTAAAAAAAATATTATAATGCATTTTAATATTACTGTGTAATCCATTTTAATATTAATATTTAAATGGATTACATATAGAACTTATGCTCGAGATTACTCTATACCACTAATTTTTTTATAGTAAAGAAATAATAATTGTAATCCATTTTAATATATCAGTGTAATCCGTTTTAATATCAATATTTAAATGGATTACATGTTTACATTAAAATGAATAACAGGAAATGTAAATATTTAAATGGATTACACCAACATTAAATAGGATTACTCTTTAATATTAAAGTAATGAATTACAATTAGTTTTGCAACGCGTGTAGTGACTGGGTTGCATGCGATTCAATCACAAAAAATGGAACTTAGAGATCGTTTGTAATCCATTTTAATAAGAATATTTAAGTGGATTACCAATCAATATTAAAATGGATAACAATTTAAATGGGTGTGTAAAATGGATCACAATTATTTTTGCCAGTCAAAACTATTATAAACGTTAATAGTTTTTAATCTAGTAATACTAAATTTAAAAAAGATTGTATTTCTGCTACTCAAAACATTATATTATTGATTTTTAAGTTGCAAGATTTTTGAACATAATAGCACCTGGAGAATGTAACTGGCCCTAATATACAGTGTAGGTTGAAACTTTAAAAAAGTAAATCCTTAAGTTCTTTATTATAGAAGCTATAAATGCCCACGCACTGGTTCAGGACTCTGTAAAAACTAAATAGATATATTTATATAATTTATTTAATTTTCTCGTTTCTGTACTTTTAAACAGTAATTAATTACACCACTGCAAAAACTTTCAGTATAATTTTACATTTACATGACAACTGAATACAGTGAAAAGTTCTATTTTAAAAGCAACAAAAGGTCGAGCTTTCTCTTCATTTTCGTTATTCCGACGAGACTAGGAGCATTGTTTTCCACAGAATAGAGAAAATTATAACAAAAAAACAAGCATTTGGAGAAGTTCAAAACTTTTCCTCGTTTTCTTTTTGTGCCCCATTGTATTATTTTTCAGCGTTAGTTTCTGCTATTATTTCTGATGATGATAAAATATACCATACCATCGAAAAAAAAACGGCGTCAAAGACGGCTGTGGAATGACAATCGATGATAATTTTGACGAGGTCAATATCTAGCCGTCATTAACTTACTCTTCTAAATTTTTTAATGGTTCTCAACCAAAGCTTTTCCTAATGTATAATCGAATTACTTTTACTGGCAATATTTTTAAGTAAATGTTACTGTCAGTAGTGACTACTAACAGTAATTACTAGAAAAGGTCCTCAAGTTTTTTTTAAAATACGACTGTCACTGGTCCAATGCGTAATTATTAGTATTTATTTCCCAGTGATTGTGAAACTTTACTGGATTTCAGATTTTCATTGTAACATATAGAAGAAAAAGTCACATGAATAATCTCAAGTATATTATGTGATGAACATTTTAGATAAAAACTCAATTGAATAAGCGAAGTCTATGTTTTAAATTCTTGACAGAAAGAACATATCAGCTTAAATGCTTCTACGAAACTGTTAATATTCCATGAAATGCATGTAGTAACATTAGGAAGATAAAGAAACATTTATATAAACAAAAGAAAAATTAATAATGGAAAAAATATTATCAACAAGAAAATGTGAATCAGATACCAATATATTATGACACACCTTAAACCTTAATTTAAGACAGTATTTCGAATCATCTTATTGTCAACAGAAACATTCTATTTCGATTGTATTTAAAACATATACATAAGTTAATATAATTTTTATTGAGTATAATATAAGTGTGTGGAACCATAAGAAAATGCAGACAAAACAATTACAAAAGGCCGGGTAGAGAGAAAAACAAATTCAAATAAACAAACAATACATAAAAAATTTTAGAAACAGTTTATACAATCAAAGAAGGTCACCACACACGTAATATATACTCAATGCGACAAAACTGATTCTTTGCTGCAAGGAACCATGGGAACCAACTACAGAGATGAGGAAAGCTACTAAAAACTACGTGAAACAATAATGGAGAAATGCTCTCTACCCCGCAAAATAAAGCAAAATGGTACGTTGGGAACAAAATAAATGATAAAAAAGCAATGCTATAAACTAATAATGTTGGTTTATGTGTTTCTAACTGTCGTAGAAAAAGTACAGTGTGTAACAGATGCGTAATAGTTCTTTCCTTTTAGATACTAAGTAATATTTATCAACTACTCGTTCCTGTTACACAATATTCCAGATTCCATAAGATAGTCTACACTAACTAGTACTCAATTGAGATATTGACATACATATATTTAGATAAAAACTTCTATATATCTATTACTTTATAGCGATACTTACTTTCTGGTGTGACTTTATCCTTTCTTGGACATCCAGACAGACTAGACAAGTCACAGAATGTTAAAAATAGATTTTAAATATGACAGTTCAAAATAAAATGGAAAATATATGTACTAGTTTTCTACAAATGCTTTTTGGAATGAAATATGAGTAATAGCTTACCTTCTGTGGTGAGAATATAACCCTGTGACGTGACCTTGACCCGTGCAGCCTGGTGTCGGACATTTACTTCCTTCTGAAACATAAAAAATATATTATTAGTAAAATATATCAAATAAAAAATAATTTTTGATAACTTTACACGAGAATACTGCTAATACTCTCGTATTAAAAAAAAAGTACAACAGTCTCTGTAAATTTATAAAAAAAGTGAAAAACATTAATACAAATGACAAATTTATTATTCGAAAATTCTTATAATGAGTATTTCTGGAAGAGAAAATGGTAATCGTATCACAATCTATTATGTAACTATGTATACAGGGTCATTCACCTCATACGACACGGAGTATTGTAGCTAAACGATTAGATTTTTACAAATTGTAAGTTTTGGGTTCCTTGAAGGACTATTAGAGCTACAATTTAAAAATATTTTTACATGATACAGAGTGTCCCAAATAAATAAAAAATATAAAAGTTGTATTTTTTTAATTATATATCTATATTAATATCAAAGTTGTATTTTTTTTATCACATTTATTTAGAATAATTTATTCACGAACATAATTAAGTATGTAATTAATTAGTATTTGGGCGGAAATAATGGTGGTATATTTAGTTAATGGTATACTCTTTTATGAAGATTTAAATAGTTTTCTTTTTGCATACAAATGGGCTAGTAATATTATCATTTTGTTAAAAACGATAATATTACTAGCCTGTATATTTTGTACATTTGTTGTTTTAAAAAGAATCTAAAATGTCAATATTCCTTGGGTATAAATATAAATGAGGTCTAAATTATAAGAAAATGCATTTTCTACGAAAACTTGAAGGGATAGGTAAAAAGTGGCATAATACAGTTTGATAGACAATTAAATTATGCATCTGATTTTCCGAAAATTTACAGGGCGTTCCATTTAAATTAAACAAGTTATTGCCGTTTAAAACTAGTAATTATTTAAAATAAAATTTTAGACACTCTGTATAAGGTAGTATCATTTTTATTATTGCAACACAATAACTGATCAATAAATAAACTTCAGTAAATATTTAGTATTAAAAACTTTGATACCCTTGGAGAAATGAAGCCTTAAAATTTTTACTGCAATTTCACAAAATTGAAAATATTTCAAAAACGGTAAGGTTTAAGTGTGATAAACCTTAATAAAATTTACCTTTATTTCAATCGTAGAATCTTACTTATTTGGGATACTCTGTATCTTCTAAAATTATTTCTAAATTGTAGCTCTAATAGTCCTTCAACGAACCCAAAACTTAAAATTTATAAAAATCTAATCGTTTAGCTACAATACACCGTGTCGTATGTGGTGAACAACCCTGTATATGTTATTTTACAATTTTGTTTTTATTGGTAATATTAAACAAGTTGCAACAGAGACACCTTAGACAACTGTCAAGAACCAAATGGTATTACCATGTCTTAAACGTATCGGTCCTTGAAAAAGCTAGTTGCGCGAGCGCTCAAGTCATGATTACTAAATCGTGCTTAAGATGGGATGGTCACGTATGCATGATGCATGTTTCTATGAGAAACCATAGAAAACAGATTATTATACAAATATTTAGTATTTATGAAGAATTTTCTAAAAGAGAAATGCGAATCGTAGCACGTCATATTATGCAACATAATATTAAATTTCACGGTTGTGAAATATAATATCGTTAATTAAGAATATTGTTCGGTGCACTGGCACAAACAAAAAATAGACGTTTCACAAAAGTAATAGCCCCGGACACTGATTAAGGCTTTAATAACGCTAATGGCCGAGAAAAAAGGATTACAGCTCCGGCCATTTTGCACTTTAACGCCAAAACAGCACCAACGGCAGCGGCAGCGAGAGAGACGAGATTTTCTTCCTCTTTAATAAAAGTTATTAGCGGCACATGTATCTCGACTTGTTTACCACCGAAAACGACCAAAAAGTCTCCGACCGATACGAATATGACCCACCCACCACCACCTCCCACACTCTATTCCTTTCTCACTCTCTCTCTAGCACTCGGTGTCGTTTTTTTTCCGTGTCGCTTCGCCGTTAGCGGCAAATTAAAAGAGCGGACGCACGTAGGAGCGCTGCGCGGTGCCGGGACCGGGCTCCGCCCCTCGACGGCGATTGGCCGGGGAGGGTGGAGACTCGGGAGAAAAATCCTTTTTGCGAAAAAAGAAACCGCAGCGTGGGCGGGCGCGAGAACTGGACGAGGCGCACCTGCCGAGCGGAGGCGACGCCTTGGGTTTAGAGCGATGTTGGGTGGCTAGGTGGATGGACGACTATGGCTTGACGTAGTGTGGAAGGACTGGAGTACGTACGTAGCAAAGCGCGTGGGAAAAAATAAAAACGTTTAAGGTTTTTTTGGTTATTATAGAATTATTATTTAAATATAGTATATATATTGTTTTATTAACTATGTTTACGGCTCGTTGAATTTGACACTTTATGTCAGTTTAATAATACATTTCCGTACTTTTGTGCTTAGGCGTAAAAGTGCTTTTTCTTTTATGCCTAGGCGTTAAAATTACTTTTTTATATTTTCAGTCACGTCGCAAAAATTAATACTCTTGTGACGTTTGAAAAAAAAACTATATTATCGCTTGTATACGGCAGCTTTTCATCAATAGAGAAGTCATGGGTTCGTTTGTAAGCTAGCCTAGACAGAGATCATAAAATAAGTTAAAACTGAGTATCCTTGTTTGAAAAAAACTCTATAAACTCACCTCGAAGTAAGTCGAGGGTTTCCATGATTAGTGATCCAGCTTTTTCTATATCTACCATTCTAAATTAAACTCAAAAGTATGTGCCACTTATGTGCCAAATATCTTAGGTTAAGTTGGGTTAAGCAAAACTATCCTGGTTCGTTGAAATTCTAACAGAAAGAATACAGTAATTTAAAATTCTAGCCCATACTTTTGATGCTAAAAACGTCAGAAATCAAAAATGGCTCTGCTAAAATGACAATCGGAAGAACAGCAACTAGAGGACGTTCAAAACTAGACCAGTGGTAGATCAGAAATAGAGAACGTTTGCAATTATATATAAAATACCTTAGGTCATATTAAAAACTCAGTAACGGAAGTTTAAAACGTTAAAATATATTACCTATAGCTGTAAGCCAAAATATTCTAACCAACGTATTTTCCAATTGATTCTTTTGGCTTTTTCCAAATGTTTCCGTACTATTATCAAAATAGACAGTCAACACTGTAGTATTGTAACTTGTCAAACTGTTTTTCCAATTTCAGTTCTATCAGTATTCAGCTTTGAATAAGAAGACTAAGGAAGGAGCATATCAAAAATCTTAGGTACACCGCGATGGGCCTCAAATATGGCCGACTTAAATTCCGGTTTATCAGTGCCGTTCTAATTTTATTTAAAAAATGTAAAACTATGATGTAGGGTAGACGTGGGGTAGACTCAATAATTTGTTATTTTATTTTACGTTGTGAATAAATGTAGGTAGTTATTAAAATTGTTATAAAAATATATAATTCTAATAAAAATAGATAAGTTATAATAAATATTTATTAACACAAACATCCGATACGCTACTGAAGCAGGTAAGTCAAATTAACGTATCAAAATTCTTTGACATCTAATCTTTGACAAGTAGTAAATAAAAGCTAAAATGCAAGAAAACATATACTTTAGTTAATGATCGGTTTACTACATTTCATAAATGATCGGTTTACTACACGTATGTATATTATATAGTCACTTACTAGCGAAAAGTTGTTCCATTATTTCACTCAATTTTTGCCGAGATCTACCGCACGCTACACAACCAACTATTTTAGAGTCTTTTTCGATAAATCGCCATAATGTCACTGTTAATTTAAGTTCTGCCACAATTTCCATCTAGATTTACCTTTATACAACTATCAGTAGTAGAACAAATAATAAATAACATAAAATAAGCTCCGTAAAGACTGACAAATCCACAAAATTTCAAATCAAATTCAAATGTGTCAAATGAATCGTCAAACAGAACTGTCAAGGATCCCCACTCTAGAGAGCTTTTTCCGCCAACCATGCATGAATACATGGATAGCATTATGCTCCTTCTTTAGTCTTCTTATTCAAAGGTATTCAGTACATTAAAAACCATACCCAGAATATCAATGAGAGATTCATACATATTATATTAAAAATAATAAAGTAAAAATGAACTGCAAAAGCAATTTTCTATTATTTCATGATTTAGTGTGATATTGTAATATTCAGTAATAAGTAAGAGGAAAATGCTATTTTAAATTATTTCAGAATTTTTCCGAAAACGAAAATGAGTCTTATATCCTGACTTATTATGTAAATATATATATTTTTTATGCTATTGAAATGATATACATAAAAAATAAAAAATGCATGAATGAATATCTTAGCTCGCAAAAGAGCAACCAGAAACAATAAATAGAATTACTTATGATCTAAAGATATTTGTACCAAACCTTCAACTTTAGCGTCGATCTCCGCAACCAGGAACTTCGTACCTACGGGTAGGGACCCGTTATATAATCTAACTCTCTTTAGTTTTGAACGATATAAATGTGGCATGTTTTTGAATATACTAAACTATAAATCTAGGTATGAGGACAGTTTCTATATTATTATTATTTCTCTTTTATTAAAGTTCTTTTACTCGTGAATTCCAGGCAGAGTACGGTATTCCAATCATTTCATTTAATAAAATAAATAGGGCTATTTACAAATTTAGCGCTTTATTTATATAACCTATTCTCCTCAAATTTCCCAAAATATTGCTTCTGTCGAAGCGCATTTGAGGTAATCATAATAAAAAAATGTTTAACACAACGCAGGTCCCTTTCTTTCATTTAAATTGTTTGTTATACAGTTGGGCAAAATATTACCTCTTCAACTTTGTTGACGAATTTGGGTTGTTATACTACAACCTGTACAAACAACTACTATAACTAAGAAATTACCGCTACAGTAAGATGAATATAAAGAAAATATTCTCTAATGTTGAAAATGTACATATTTCAGTATAATAATAATATACGAAATAACATATTATGAATAAAAAGGAGTAGTTTTTGATTAT